CAAACATATCCATGAACTTTTACCAATTCCTTCAGCTTCAGGATGAAAAGCTAATGCTGGTAAACCTCAGAGGAAAATTTTTTAAAATGTGGTTATTTTGTATAAAGAGCCCAGAACATCGCTGCTAAATCAAATAAAAATAGAGGTTATTCTTTTCCAAAACTATGAAAGTATGTCATCACAAGCATCATGGTAGTAAAACTAAGCTCTGTTTGCAGCAAAGATTATTTCTGAACCAGAAGATTTAAATTAATTATTTCTAATCCCTCACAAGCACATGGGTTTAAATGAGCGACACTGTAAATCAATGCAACATTTTAGAGACCAAAACCATCTTATTATCAATTAACTCAGGGGCGGCTATCCTCCAGCTCCCAAGTCAGACACCAGCCAAGCATCTATTTGTCCGTGTGGCCAAGGTCAATCCATTTTCCTTGCTCCCTGAAGCCCTCTCTGCAGGAGGCACATCGTGGAGCAAACGGCAGCCCACTTTGCTGCTATTTCATGAGGGCCATGCATGTTCCACAACAGAAGATGCTGAGACAAGGAGCTCTGCAATGCGTGAAGCAGAGGCAGTGGGACTTACCCACTAAGCAGTCTGACCGTTCTGCATATCAGAGGACAGTAAAATAGCAACTTGTTTTCACTCGTACTGAGACCAACAACCCTTACCTGAGTAAAGTCTACATCCATAAAAGTATCCCATCTCAGACTAGGTGGGCAAAAATGGGAACTGAGGATATGCTGATAGTCACCTGAGCAGTTAAAAGTATGTTCTATTTCTGATTTGCCCGAGTTCAGATTCCAGCCTTTGGTAGCTATTCTACGTTTTTCACCGCAAAAAAATCAAGTTACCTCTTCACTTCTGTTAATACCTTTCCTGATGCCTTCAGGTGGTTGCTGCAGCTAGGAAGCCAATTCCACTGAATTTCTCACAGTGCAGGAAAAAAACATAGAAAACCGGACAAACACAGTATGGCAAGAGCTTATAAACAGTCCACAGAGAAAAGAAAGGCTCAGTCTGAGAAACAGAAAGCCACAGGGAAGACAGAGGATCAAGAGATGCACTTTATAGGAACAGACTTTGAATTATAGGGACAAAGTTAAAGAAAATTGATTCTGGGCAGACAGGCTCCAAAAATCTAAGCTATCACTTCTTGCAACTACATTTCTCACTCATGTCACCTCAGAAATACATAAAGTAAGTTTCATGAGGTCTGTGATCACATTTGTCCTGCAGGTGCAACATCACTAAGTTTGATCTAAGGAAAAAGGCTATAAACAAACACAAGAGAGTATATGCTTCTGTTCTGACAACAGACTAAATTAAACTGCAGTAAGAAAGATCCCTCACCAAAAAAACATCGCAGTACTGTGAAGAAATTGAGACAAACACATATAACATATGCAGTTTAAGTCTGGTTTTGCACACCATCTTTGCAATTGTTATTATGCAGTACTGCTTTCAAACTGCATGTATTACCTCATACCACTGTTTTAGCGACAAAATTTGACCCGGCCTTAAAATGGATTAGAAATGTTCATATGGTCATTCACAGGTGAAAAAAAAAATAATTTAAAGACCTACTACCACTTTTGAAGTTAAGTTCTACTTTCTATGTCAAATGCTGTACAAGTCTTTAACAGTATGGAGTAACTAGCAGTTAACTTATCTAAAATGCATGTGAAATTTGTACCTTGCCAGGCATGCCATGGTTGAATTTATAACTGTGCACTCAATCACAACTGTGTAGACATACCTTTAATGCTTTCCCTCAGGCTGTTTTTTCTGCCTCTCTTTAAGAGGCATACAGTCCTTCAAGTCAGCCAGTTGCCACTTGCTCATTTTTTGGAAACAATGAGAGTTTCTACAGAAAATACATGCATATATTATTTCAGCCATCAGATTCTGAAAAGAAGATTAATGGCCTCTTTCATCAATCATCACTATGGCAATATCTGTACTGCAGGCTGAATGTAGTTAAAAAAACCGCAAAGATCCAAAACTGCTTTGGGGCCAGAAGGCCTTATTTTCTAGCTATTTTCATTTAAGAAAACTTCCTAATAATATATTTGACATAATCTAATAGTTAAGCTTAGGATAATGCAAAACTTATTAAAGGGATAAGTATTTTGGTGTTTAACATATTTACTAGCTTTAATCTCCGCAATATTTTAGAGGTAAATCCAAACGCAGTTCTGAAACACAAACATACATTTGAACTTGACTGCCATACACAGCTAAATGTGGATTTAGGTGCCTAACTTGTAATCACCCCTTTGACCTTGATGAAGTTTAGGGATGCCAAGTTATAACTACTCAACTTCTGCAGAAAATATCAAACTTGGTTTTCTGAAGCGGTCTGTGAATAACTACATTTACCTTTACAACTGCTTAGTCTAGGACACAGTAATTCCAGTAAGTGTTTCAGCCACTTACTGAAACAAACTTCATCTCAAGAGGTTGTTTTCCTTAATCCAAGCACCACACAGTTAGCATAGGGCCATGCCAACCAGATCGAGTCTACTACAACTTGATCACAAACATAGGAACACATGGTAAAAAACTGTTATTTTAATAACAAGTTCAGGTCATGAAACCCCAATTGTCTTTTGGGGCAAAGAGGCAGAGGGGATGGTGGTGGAAGAGATCACTAAATGGAGGCATTCCACAACTGTGCTATGCTTTTGCTGTTACTAACATTAGCAAGTCTTGCTCAGAATGCTGCCCTTCTCTTTGGAAATACTTAGCTCAGCAAAATAAACATACTTTATGCCATGGTTCTTAATCACGGAATATGTACATGATAGAAAATGTTAGCCTACTTCTAATCTTGTGGGTCACTAAAAATTAAGCTAATGTAAAGAGGCCATTGAAGAAATTCAGCCAACAGTTACTTTAGAAACCCACTGAGGGGAAGTCTACTGAAAACTCAGATCACCCTTTTGCAGTCCCCGTGGAATTATGAAACCTAAACCGATAGCACTTTAAAGATGTTTCACCAGGTACTGGATTGTCAGTATACATAGGGGAAACACTGTAAGAGCTCACAGCTCTTGGCAAAGCAGACATACACATACCACCAGATATGTTCCATTACCTGCTGCAAGTCTGCATATTACCACTAAAAAAAAAAAAAAGTAGTCAATAACTGCTATGTATGCAACATCCACAGAGGCTCTCGAAAGAAAAGAGTCTGTGGTTCAAGGTCTCCAGTTTCTACCTTTAGAACATACGACAGCAATGTACAGAACTGCTTCCTATTGTCTCTTCTCCCTTGGACTGCTGTGAACAGTTTTATCATTACAAAAGAACCGTAGAGCCAGGTTCACCGCCAGCCCCGCGCTTCCCCATTAAAGGGACAACTTTAACAGAGCAACCCGCAGCATCACTGTACCGCCCCGGACCATCCCCCCAGCCCGAAAGCGACAGAAAGCCCCCCATGAAAACACGAGTTCCCTCGGGGAGAAGCGAGCCTGGACCAGCACCTTGCAGTAACGGACGGGCGAAGGCGGGAGGGACACACACGCAGGCCAGGGCTTTCTCTGCCCCTCAGGGCTGACCGACCCAGGGGCCCGTGTGACAGCTCCGCACCGCGACGCGGCTCCAGCAACCGCGGAGGACACAGCCCGC